CCCAGGTTTCTTGATTCCAAGTCTAATCCACTGAATTTTTAGTGGGAAACAGAATGGAAAACAGAAAAAAGGAGGTAAAATAAATCTAAGAATATAATTAAAAGATCAGATAATCAGAGAGTAATAAACGAGAATGCTAACAGGAACATGGTAAGGTGATTGGAAAGAAATGCACAAAATTGGGAAGTGAGCATGAACTTTGGGGGTATTGCTCAAACAGTATCAAATATAGAAATGTTTATTTATTTAAGTTTTGGTAAAGATCAGAAATCCAGCTCAAATCTATAGGGTGAAGCAAAGCATACTCAGTGCAAATTAATAATAATGAATGCCCATATTAAGCACTGAAAAAGAAAAACTCCTTGAGCTGATTCTGTATTTAAAATACTCAGAGAAAGTCAGGAAGAAACTGAAAGTAAAGGTGAATAAAGGAGCCTATCAAAAGAAGCAGAAATAAGACTGACCACAAAAGAAACAGAACTGGTAAAACTGTAATAGTACAGTAACTAACATTTTCATGGGGCTTTACGGCTTACAAAATACTTTCTTTATAACAGTGGGAGACCAGGAGGCTAAGTAACATTTAAGATTTTGGAAAGTTAGGAAACTCACCCTTGATTGTATGCAGAGTAACTGCAAGGCTTCCCCGTTCCAAGCTCCTGAATTTTCAAAACACTCTATGATATTTCTCAGAGTCACAAGCTATTTCTATTAAAGTACCAATAACAAAAGAGAAAAAACTGACTATCTAAATTAGGACAAAAACGTCCTTATAAGTACAACAAATCAGTAAAATCTTCAAAGACTATTATGCTTAGTTTTGTGATAATTGGAGAACTCAAAAAGAAGTGGTTGAACATCGAACATAAAATTCCCAAACTGATGAAAACAGAAAATAATTTGAATTGGCCTATCTTATGAGGAGAAATTATATGGGTCAGTAATGAGCAGCCTCTGGACCTTCTTAAAATAACATTTTTAAGTGCATAAAACATAGGATTACAAAGGAAATCAATTACTTGGAAATAGTTACGTTGATGGAGCTTTATACCCAGGTTAAGAATGCTTATTTTATAGCATTCTGACCCTATTTTATAGGTCAGAGTTAGCAACTAGCAAAGGTGACATCTCTGAACCTGCTGCTAGTGGGACTGGGAAGGGTCAAACCTCTGATTTTCATTCCTTCAAGGCAGGACCTCTATCCATGTTACCTCAATAGCCTAATCATATCAATATGAAAAACACGATTACATGTCTAACATGCATAAAAGGTTGAGGATAAGATGCAATGTTCACCTGTTGAAAAATCACTAAAATAAGTGAACAGAATGACTTTTCCTTAATATAAGTAAATGATCTGGTTTTTATTAAGTGCTAGTGTACAGGGCACTGTGTTTGGCATGGCGCTACAAAATTTAGATCAGACAGTGTAGTAGAGCTGTTCACTGTCACCACTCCTGTCTGGCATAATTTTAGGAATGTTAGTTCTAGCAAGGAGACATGAAAAAGACATGGCTAATGAAGAAGTTAAATTGCTCTAGTCTAAATCTCTTCTGAGGGAAAAAAGGTTTAAGGTGCGGTGATCTGCTCAAGGTTAATAAAGGTCAGTAAAGAGCAAAGCTGGGATGTAAAAAGCCTTGTTGCTCTTTCACTTAGAATAAGTCAGTACAGAGAGTCTACATCCCAGTGGGGTATAAACTTGGAAGAATAATCAGTCTCTGTTTTGAGAGGGGGAGTTACAATTTGAACTTAATTAAAAGCGGGATGTTCTTATAACACTTAGCACTGAATGTGACAAGCCATGTCAATATGCTGTTGCTCACTTGCGTTATCACAGAGATTTAAAATAGCCATTGAAAAGTAGGTGGCTAAACTTTAACCTCTAAAAGTTCTATCTTATTAAGGCTATTAGGGAGGCTGAATTACTAATTATAGCCACGTGGCAGGGTATTTGAGTTAGTCATTACTGCATTAGTTGTACAGCAAGAACAAGATTGTAGGTTTAGAAAAATCGACTCAATAATTTTTGAAAGGAGTACAAGATGTGCCCACAAATATCATCTGTATTTTTTAAAAAAATAAATCTTATCAATAATCAAGAAAAACTGAAATGTTTTTATAGGAAAAGAATGAACCAACTATCCGGATTTTTGCCGTACCAGTACACATGTAAGACCTATAAAGACAAATTTAAAATTATTTTTGACAGAAATAAAGGAAAACTGAACGACTGTAAGGCTATCTCCTACAGATCCACAGGTCAAGCTAATACTATAGTAAAATGTTAATACTTCATAAATTTAAAGATTTGATGCAATAGCAATCAAAATGTTAATGCACTAGTCTGGGAGGTGGGCTTACAAGAGAGGATTACTTGACTTTCTAACACTCCCCTCCTGGTAGCTGGTGGAGTTTTAAACCCGGTAACAACATAAGACAGGAAAACTATAAATATCTCTGGGCGGCAGGAGTCCACTACAGAGTTGTTTTGCCAGTTCGTGGGCTTGAAGGGTTCTTTCTGACTTTTATATCTTCTTTTTATAGTGTCCCATATATTTGATGGCTTGTAAGCGATCTGAGGGTTTATTACTTTTTCTGAAGGGCCCAATTCTGATGTTCCAAGGGGAAACCCTAGGCTGAGGGATGGTGAGGGGAGGGAAGCAAGTCACAGAAAAACTATGTAAGAAGCCACAAGGGTGAACCTAGTTTCTCTGTGAACCTCAGGTCCTAGGACAAAGTTACATTGATAGAACTATATAAAAGAACACAACAGGAAAAAATTAATAGGCAAAATTTTTTGAATTATGGAAAAAAACTGACTGCTCTGCCAAATTTTGAAATATAAGCAAACAGAACATTATCTAACCCTAAAATGAGACGGAAGTTAAATGATGTGCCATTTAGAAAATAGGTCTAGAGCATAAACATGACCATGCTCGTTACAAGGAAGTATAGATTAGTTTTCTAATGTTCATATTTTAAAATAATTTCAGAGCTCTGTTTTATTTGGAATTTCCTTAATTTTATTGTTCTTCATCAATTTACAACAGAAAATGAATCCTTCTGTTAAGTCCAACTGCATATGGCCCTCCCAGCTCAACTGCTGGAGTCCAGTAAAAGCCAAACCCTCACCCTTCTTCGATGTATTTTAAGTTCTGCCTAGTTTTCACACCGGGTACTGATTTTCCAGGCTCCTGAGCATCTCCACGATCCTAGGACATCGGAAATAAACACACCCTCTACACACGCTTAGTAAGCACCGACCTCACTGCCTGCACTCCATTATGCGGGAGTGGAGGCGGGGTGGGGTAAGATGATTATGGAGGAGCTTAAAAACGACTTTGGGAATCCTTCCGACCCCACACCTTAGACCAGGCGGCCGAACGCCGGGGGAGTCAGAGTGAGCGAGACGCATGCACGCAGAGAACAACTGAGGCAGTCGCGGGGCAGGCGGGGCCCGAGGGGCGCCCAGGCTGCGGCTCAGAGCCCCGAGCCCTAGTCTTGGCGTCGGGGGCTGCTAAGGCCGCCTTCCCGCAGAACTTCCCAGCGCATGAAGTTAAACTATGCGGCTACACGGGAAACCACTGGGAACAGAGCAGGGCACGAGAGACGCCAGCAGGACGAGGGTTCGGGGCCGGCCGGCCCAGACCCCTCGCTCGGGCCTAGTCCTGGCCTCGCGGCCCCAGGCCGGGCCCCGGGAAAGGCGCGCTCTTTCGAGCTTCCCAAGGCTGGTCGGGATCTCGTCGGGCTCCCGCTCGAGGCCGCACGGAGGGGACGCGGCGCCGTCCCCGGGGGGGGGGGCAGGGCCGGGGCGGGCCAGCGAGGCCTCTGCTCCCTCCCACTTTTCCGGCCCCCGAGGCGGCTTTGTCCGGGTCTCCGGAGCCGCGACCCCCGCGCCTTCCACCCCGGCCCTGGCGCCGACGGCGGGGCGGAGTCCGAGGGGAGGCCGCGTCCGGAGTCGTCGACCCCCGTCCTTCCTCCTTTTCCGGTAACGCTTCTTCCTCCCCCACTTCCACGGAAGTACGGCAACGTCACCTCAACGACTTCCGGCGCACGCACAAGGCGCGAGCACGCCGAGGGCGGCGACGAGGCGACCCAGAGGGCATTCGACTCCACTAGCCTCCGCCGCCATTCATCTCAGCTGATGTGTGTGTGAGGTGTGCGTGCGCGCCCCCGCAGCAGCGTCCAGCCCAAGCGCGCGCGCGCGAGGGCAGGCGAGGGAGCGAGGGGAGGGGCCGTGGAGGCTCGAGCTCCCGCCCCTCCTCACGCTCCTCCTGTTTACCTTCCCCAGACAAGGGAAAGGGGAAAGGGCAGGGCAGCCTGTCCACAGAGCACATCAGAGGGGAGGGGCCAAAAGTGGGTAGAAGAGGCAGAAGGGACTGTCCGGGCTTGGCCCTTCCCCCCCATTCCTCTCAAAGCCCCGCCCCTCTGTCCAAAGCGGGCCCCCCCCCCCCCCGTCCCGCGGTCTGTCAGCTACGCTCTCCTCGGTCGGCCTCACGCACCCGCGCGCCTCGTCGCCGCCGCCGTGCGCGCGCCCGCCAGTCCCGCTGGGGCCGCTGCGTGCGCGAGGCTGCAGGCCGGGAGTTGTTGTCAGGCCCAGGCCTCGGAGGCCGCCGACGCCGCCCCCCGCCGCCGCCGGGACCGGGACCGGGACCGGGACCAGGACCGTGGGAGAGTGAGGAGAAGCGAGGGCGCACGCGCGCGTGCGTGGGGCTGCCGCCGCCCGAAGAGGACAGAGTGCCCGCCCGCCTGGCCGAGGCTCCGCGCACACACACACAGACACACACACACGCCCGCCCGCCAGCCCGGAGCCCAACGTCGGGGCGGGATGGAGTGAGGCGCCGGGGCCGCGGCCGCGCCACTTCCGCCTTGTGCGGCCCCGAGGAGCAGCCCGAGCTGAGGCCGCCGCTGTTGTTGTCGCTTCCGGGCGCGGGCATGGCCGCGGCCCGGGTGTGAGCCGGGCCCGCCGGAGTCGGAGGAGGCCGCGCCCGCCCGCCCCGCCCGCCAGCCGTGTCCGGCCCGTCCCGCCGCGGGCCCGCAGCCGCCCCCCCATGCCGAGCAGCTCGGACACGGCCCTGGGCGGCGGCGGCGGCGGGTCCGGGTCCGGGTCCGGGCTGAGCTGGGCCGAGAAGAAGCTGGAGGAGCGCCGCAAGCGCCGGCGCTTCCTGTCCCCGCAGCAGCCGCCGCTGCTCCTGCCGCTCCTGCAGCCGCAGCTCCTGCAGCCGCCGCCGCCGCCTCCGCAGCCGCCGCCGCCCCCGCAGCCGCCGCCCTCGCTGCTCTTCCTGGCGGCCCCGGGCCCGGCCGCCGCCGCAGCCGCCGCCGCCGCGGCCTCCTCGTCCTCCTCCTGCTGCTTCAGCCCGGGGCCGGGACCGGGGCCGCCGGGGCTCGAGCTCAAGCGGCTGCCCAGGGGGAAGAGGCGCGCCGCGGCCCGGCAGAAGCGGCGCCGCGGGGCCCGCGTCGGGCAGGAGGCCGAGCGGCGCCGGCTCTTCGCGCCGCAGCCCCCGCCGCCGCCGCTCCCGCCGCTGCCGCCGCCGCAGCAGCCCCCGCCGCCCTCGCCCTCGCAGCCCCCGCAGCCCCCGCCGCCGCCGCGGCGGCCGCAGGACGGGGGCGGCGGGGCCGGGCCCGGGGCCGCCAGCCCGCCCGCCGCCGACTACGACGACGTGAGCTCCCAGTCGGAGCAGGGCCTGGGGCCGCCCGGCGCGCCGGGGGCCGGGGCTGGGCCCGGGGGCGGCGGGGCTAGCCCGGCCTCGTCGCCCGGGGCGCCGGCGCGGCGCGGGGGCTCGTCGGAGCGCAGGCCGCGCCGGGAGCACCGGGGCAGCGGGGGCGGCGGAGGCGGCGGCGGGGGCCGCAGCAAGGAGCGGCACCGCGAGCACCGGCGGCGGGACGCGCAGCGCGCCGGGGCCGGCGAGGCCTCGGCCAAGTCTCGCGGCCGTCACGGCCACGGCGATGACCGCGCGTCCGAGGCCTCGGCCAAGGGCGGCGGCGGCGGCGCGGCGGCGGCGGGGGCGCCGCAAGAGCGCGTCGGGCGCGTCGGGCCGCAAGGAGCGCGACTCGAAGGCGCACCGCAGCCGGACTAAGGCGGCCAAGGAGCCGCCCTCGGCCTACAAGGAGACGCCGCGGGCCTATCGCGACGACAAGAGCGAGCCCAAGGCCTACCGGCGCCGCGCGCGCTCTCCCAGCCCGTCCGGCGCCCGCGAGGACGGTGCCCTGCGCGGCCGCAAGTCCCCAAGCAGCCCGGTGGGCGGTGGCGGCAGCAGCCCGTACTCGCGGCGCGGGCCGCGCTCGCCCAGCCCTTACAGTCGCCGCCGCTCGCCCAGCTACAGCCGCCACAGCTCGTACGAGCGCGGAGGGGACGTGTCGCCCAGCCCGTACGGCGGCAGCAGCTGGCGCCGCTCCCGGAGCCCCTACAGCCCGGCCGTCAGGTGGGTGCTGGGGGGGGGGCCTGGGGGGCGAGGGGGAGGGGCGGCGGACCCCCGGGGCCGGCCTCGGCAACGGGTGTCGGCGCCAGTTTCCAGTACGAGTGGCTCTCGGGCAGGACCGTGTGTCCCGTGGTTCCTCGGTCGGTGTCCCGAAGGCCTCGCTCTGAAGTCACTTGTGCAGTGGCTTCCAAAAAGTGGCCTGGGGCATGCCCGGCTCGGGGATGCTTGGAAACCCTGCTTTTGAGCAGGAACCCGCAAGACCCTGTCATCCACCTTCACTCCTGGTGCAGCGAGAAGCCTCGGCCTGTTCTGTTCTTTGCACAATTTACCTGCGATTCTCCGTCCTCCATCCTTTGAGTTCCCCTTGTCCTCCTAACATCTTGGTTACCTAAAGTTCGCCTCTATGTTTAGTAATCTCCCTTAAATTTCCATGTTTGCTAGCCATCTTCTTTTGAAAAAAGAAAAAAAAAGACCCGTAGAATTTTACCAGCTATTGTAGTGTTCTCAGACTCTGAGAGTTGGTGACACACTGGATTCTTTTAAAAGGGACTTGGGGTGCAGATAGTAGGGATGGTTCAGAGTGAAAGCAGATGAATTTTGAAGGGTTCAGAATACCCCTCAAAGCGGAAAACTGCTCTGGAGTATTGCAAGATCAAATTTGCAATCTGCCAAAGTATACGCTTTCTTCTCTTGTTGCTTCTTTGTCATAAAGCATCAGCACAATAGGTTTCGATAAGTGAACAAAGATTTATTAAGCATGTATTATGAGCCAGGCGGGGCATTAAGGCAAAAACAGTCCCTGTCCTCTGAGAACTGGAAGATCTTTTGGAAAGAAAGGGCTTTGAAGATTTAGGTTATTTTTGAAGCAAAGTAAAGATGTGAACTAGTTTTTACAGCACCCTCTCATGGTGCTAGACCCTTTGGTGAAAAATAGTGTCCTGCTGAAATGTAACTAACTTGAATTAACCAGTTTTTTCCTGTAAAGAGGCAGCTTGGAATATTTTGCCAGTCGGGGAGTCGGGAAGATGAGTTCGAGACCCACTTTCTAGCGGGACTTGAGTTTAAATGAGGCTGTGTGAACCTAGGCAAGTCATTTGATTGCTTTATGTACCAGATAGTTTATGAGTGGGAGTTGCAGAATGGAATTGTTACAAGGAGTTTGCTCCCCCAGGAGTTTCTTTGACCAGAGAAATTATAGGTTTATCTCCCCCAAACCCCCACCTTTTAAAGGGGTAAAAGCAACTATTCTAAGCTGATGTCAATAGGGAGAGCAGATTTAAACCTTTTCATGTTTCGTACATTTAACATGTGACTGGAGCTTTGAGCCTTTTAAAATGTTCTACCCAGTCCCAGAACTTAAAGCAGCCAGTGGTTTATAGTTTGGCTGGTGAAGGAATGGGTTGATTTGTTGGCTACTTCTGCTTGTTCCTTTGTGTGTCAACTGAGTTTGGTGACAAAGCTGACCAGTCCTCCCTGTGATTTTGTGGGTAGCAGGGTTTGTGTTCATCGGGTCTAAGAGACTTCAGAAGTCATCTTAGTGAAAACTCCCACATCTAGAGGAATTCTCTAGTCTGACAAACCTAAGTAGTCTTTCAGGTGGGATGGGAGCAGTTCTTTACCCAGTCACACAGCACTTTCCATTGTTGGACAGTTCCAGACGATTGTTAAGGTGACTTCTTTTGAGTCCTGTGGTGAAATCTGTCTTGCCCTTTACTTTTCCCATTTGGCCCTAATTCTGCCGTATGGAATAACATAGAAATGAAGTCTAGTCCTTTATGTGAGTTTTATAGGTGTTTAAAGAAAACCTTAGACTTCTCTAGGCTAAACTTCATTTACTAAGTTCATCTTACCTTCATCCCCTCTTGTTTCACTTGGACCCATATAATGTTTTAGACTTGGAAATTATCTTAGAACTAATTTCCTTCCAGCTTTCATTTTAAAGATAAGGAAAATTGAGGCTTGTAGTGGGGGATAGTGACTTGCCCAAGGTCAGATAGCTCATAAAGAATAGATCTGCAAATAGACTTTAACTGGTCTTGTAACGCTCTGTCCTGGTTAAGGCTTTTCAGGTGAACCTTTCGTCATAGTGGTTGCTTGTATTCTGGACACCTTCTAGTTTGCTGGTGTTCCACGTAAAATTAGGCTGACAGAATTGCATGTGATCTGGCTGTTGCAGGGCATGGGCACTCTCGGTTATCTTCTGTTTTAGTTGAAGATTTTTGCCGTTGAGGAAAAGTAAAATTTGATGGCTGAGCCATTCTCATCGATACCTGAGAGCAAGAATTGCAGAATGCTTGTCAGTTATATCGAGGATGACTGGGGTTTCTTAAATGATACTTAGATGCAGGCGTATATCCTGGATGGGAGTGGGGGGGAGTAGTTATTGGTTTCCTTTAAAAAGTGACATTAATTAGATGAGGGGGTGTTCTGGGGTCATCTAGATCCATTGGAGCAGTGTTATCAACGGATGGTGATTGAATGATGTCGGATTAGGTTTTTACAGTGTTATGGCAGGGCTTGGTTATAATTTATTAGCAGCTTTATTTTTTTGGCCAGAATTAGTTGGAGCGGTGTTGTATGTTTTGTCTAAGAGTTGCCCGGCTAACTTTTGCTTATTCGTACCTTTTGGAAAATCAGTTTAATACTGTGTTTGCGTCATATAGCAGTTGTGATTTGTAGTGCTTTTAATGTCATGTGAGATTTAATGTTAGATAAATCATTGGATGAAAACTGATGCATGAGAAGTAGTTAAATGAATAGTTTGTGGCTAAGTATGAAAATTTCTTCAGGAAAAATTGTGAGGTGTATGTTATTAAAATGAGCCTTCCGGGACCTCTCTGGGTGCTTTTGCTGTTAGTGGAAAGAGTTGAAGAAGGAAGGGTTAAGGAAGTTGAACAGCTCTATGACTTTCTTCAGAAATAATTAATCCACCAGCCCTCTCTGTTAACTTTTGGGTATAATTTGTCACAGTTTTTACCCCAGTTGAAAAAATTCGGTGGCAACATCTGGTTTTTTGAGTTTTATAGTGAACGTTTTAGAAAGGTAGAGTATGAGAAATGCATAGGGAGTTCAGATATGCTTTTTACTGCTAGAAGGTATCCCAAGATTTTAGAAATGGTTCTTATGAACTCGTATTACCATGACTTTTCGTAGAGATAATAAGTAACTGGGTGCATTCCATATGCATAAGTAATCTTTTTTTTTCTTGTTTTTCAGGCAGTTGGGGTTAAGTGACTTGCCCAGGGTCACACAGATAGTGAGTGTCAAGTGTTTGGATTTAAACTCAGGTCCTCCTGACTTCAGGGCTGGTGCTCTATCCACTTGTGCCACCTAGCTGCCCCCTGCATAAGTAATCTGCCCCCTACATAAGTAATCTGCCCCCTGCATAAGTAATCTTAATGCTTTACGCTGTAGGTCTCTAGTACAACAATGTTTGTTATCACAAAGCGCTAACCATATAGTTAGGGGGGAGAGGAAAGAAAAGTGTGAATGAGTTAGGGAAGCGGATAGTACACCAAGCACTCTGTTCTGTGGCACGACAGAAAATAGCATTGAAAGTGCTAATGGGGCAACAGAGATGAAGGCCAGAAAGTTAGGCGAAGAAAGGGAAAGCTCGTTGTGGTCTTGAGCTGAGCTGGAAGGCGTTGCTGAGCCAGGGCGTGGATTAGTGGAGTGGGACTGAGCAGTAAACAGCCACCATGACTGATAAGATGTGCCTGTTTGCAAAGTGCTCTGCATGATGTTGAGTCATCTGAACCTCTTGAGTCTCCTGCTGATCTGGTGACTTCGCTCCTTCTCGGGTTGGTTGTTTTACTTCTAACCCATAAATATGGGAATCTCCCAAATCCCTGTCTAGTTCAACCCGTTGAGTATTTGCTGCTTAAGCACCTACTCTGTGCAGGGCACCTAGGCTGGGGGCTGGAGATGGAAAAATCCCAGAAGGCCTCTCCCCTCTGGTGCTTCTGGATGTACTTTGCTATTTGCATGTGCCCTTCTCTTTTCCTACCCCCATCCCCAGTAGAATGATGATCTTCTTGTGGGCAGAGACTGTTGAATTTTCTCTCCTTACTCTCATGGAGGGGTGGGGACACTGGATAAATAGATGCATGGTATGTGATGAAGGAGGAAGCATGAAGATATTAGGGGGAAGAGAAGAACCGCCCAGGGGAGCAGGCACAGGAGCGATCGGAGGTCTGCCTCCTTTGTACCTTTCCCTTTTGCCTTCATTTGGTTCTAGAGTTTAGCTGGCAACTCATTGTACACGGAGGACTCCTAAATCTGTATCTTTGTTCCAGAAGCTATTCCTGCCTGAGTTTTAGTTCCTCTTCTTTACCTGCCTTATATCACTGTCTAGGTATCAGCCTAACCAAATTCATTGCCTTGCCCTCAGATCTGCTTTTTGTTGTTTCCTTATTTCTGGAAACTGCTCTTTCTCAAGTAACCAAATCTGGTGGTCCGTTCTCAGTCTTCATCTTTGCTGGTCACCGGTCATCCTCTTCTCCTGGAGTCTGTCTTCTCTCTGGAGCTTCATCGTTTTTCATGGTAGTTCGCTTGTCTGGCTTCTTTTCAGTCTCCTTTCCTGTATCGTTATCCAAGTCCCTGTCCTCGGTGTTTATATTTTAGGTCTTTGTCCTCTTCTTTCTCTACTCTCAATGATCTCATTAGTCTCATGAGTTTAAATTTCATCACTGAAGAGGATTCCCAGATGCATGTATTCAGCCCTCGTTTACGTTGTTCTGAGCTCTAGTTTCTTATACCTGTTGTATGTTTCAAAGTGGTTGTTCTGTAGGCATTTCAAATTCGATGTGTCCGAAGCAGAACTCATTATCTGTCTTCTCCGGTGCCCCAAACCTGCTCCTCTTCCACATTTCCCAGTTTCTGTTGAGGGTGTCACCATCCTGCCAAGTCCTCAGCTTTATGACTTCAGCCTGACCTTTAACTCCTTACATGTTCGCTCTTCTCCTGCAGAGACAATCAGACGTTACATCTTGTCATTTCTAGAA